AAATTAAGAAGTCCATATATGGCAATTTACAAATATGAAGCCCAGTGACCTTGACCTACTGACCTGATATTCATTAGTACACACCCACTTTCCATGTTCACCAGCCCTATTAATTTAGTAACATCATTGTAGAGCAAAATGGTTTAATAAATTAATCAAACCTATCGTCTACATAGACTTGAATGAATCCACCACGATTTTTTGCCTTAAAAATGGCCAACTTTGGAGGTATTTTTCAGTACCTGTTTTAATACAGCAGTAACTTTTGAAACTTGATTTGGAATGACCCATATCTGCCTAAAATATTCATGCAGTTTTATAGCTGTAAACCCTGTGAAGATGGAGATATATGCAATTAAAGATGGTAGTATCAAAATTGGACTTTGGGGGGAGGGGTGTTATAAATGGGTGTGGCTCGCCCAAGCAGGGTCTTATCTGAATTCTACATATATCTGTGGCAAGCCAAATGATTGTTTTCAATGATTGTAAGGTCTAATATTTTTTAGTTTTCTCCATTTTTGTTTAATTTACACAAAATATATCATTATTTTTCCAAGGTAAAAATGGAGTCTCAAAGAGGCTACATAAGCCATGACTTATAATAGGCTATAATTCTCTGAAGAAAGGATATTTTTGGGATTCCTTCCTAACTCATGAATAACTTCCTAATATGCCTCCATACAACAAATTTGGTTGAAATCCGCTGACCCCCACCTTGCCACCCTGGGCTGGTTCTCTCGTGGACAAGCTCTTAAATATTTTTATTTGAAGGGCCATTTCATTTTATTTCCCCTTTCTTTGATAGCTTTCCTACACCATAGGCTTTTGTATATAATATATATTTATATGTTAGCAGTCATGCCGCATCTGTGCTGTCTTGAACTAAATTTGAAAAGGAAAAGGGAAACTTGGTATCTTGCAGCTTTTGTCTGATGTTTAAATTATATTTTCACTAAGTTAACTTTATTATTATAGTTTATTAGTTTATTTATTATATAGGTATTGGGAAACTCACAGAAGGAATATGACAAAGAAGTTGTCAAATACAGTATAAAGAATCAACTTAGATTTAAAGGAAACCTAGGTTCGTATGAATTGAAGATTGGTTATGGTAATGTTATAGATGTGATTATAATCTCCTTTGTCCAAGCTTTTCAAATCCAAACATTGTATTTCATTGCCCAATGAAAAATATTAATTTAACATATCTGTTTCTTCTTTGATTTCTGGAAGACTTAAATATTATCACCATCTTGAATAACTGTTGAAGCTGGTCTGACAATGACAATTTTCATTATATTTTTTAGTGAAAACAATCAGAAAAGATGAGCGCAAATATTACGAGCAGCTCCTCCAGTACAGTCGGGATCACCTCATGTTGTTTCCATATCACTTGTCAGATGTCATTGTTAAAGGACTGCGGATGACACCATTTGCTTATTATATCAGTATAATGACAGATATAATGACCCAGGAGAAAAGCTATGACTCACTGCCAAACTTTACTGCTGCAGACTGTAAGTGGCAATGCTTGTTCATTTGTTGCAAAAATTTAAACTAAGGGATTACTAAACATTCTCTTCTATATCAACAGCAACTTAATCTAAAGAAGTGAGGGCCATTTATAATTTCTTTATATTTTTGGATCAATTTCTTTAGTCCACTCATTCTATAAAGCATAAACCAATTTTGCAAGTTTTAAGTTGATGTTGTTTAGATTTATTCATTGTATTTTTATATTCAAATATTGCATTGATGAAATGCATATATACAGTGGTATTGATATTTTTCAGGCCTCCGACTCTTAGGCATTGGAAGAAACCAGTACATTGAGCTTATGAATCAATGCAGATCTTCAAAAGTGAGGCTTTTTTCAATCATTATGATTGTAACTAAAAATGCTCAATGTTTTGACATTTCCACTATGACATACATTCTGTCTAAGTTTGCCTTGCTCAGTCAGTTATGATGTGATATTTTCAGAAATTCTTCAGAAAAAAATCTGCAAAGGATTTGGTGCCTTTGCAGCCTATAGACATCAACATTGAACCTTGGTGGACTGTTCAGGCAGGGTACATCACTGAGGAAGATGTTAAAGTAGGGACAGTCACTTTAAATAGACTTAAGTTTAAAGGGAAACTGTATTTTTGCTCCTGCCACTAGGAATGGCATGAATGCTCTGGATTTCAAAGCAATGTTAAAACTGGTACTGAGAATTCCTTCCTCAAGAAGTTTGTAACTTTTGAAATTGTTTAAGTATATTCTTCTTAGCACATATATCTTAATAGGCCATGTAAATAGTAATTTTTGTTTATGTTCCAGACTTGTTCACAGGTAATGAAGGAAGCTATAGATTTTATCATAGATGGTGGAGGCCAGCAGGCAGGAACCATGGAATGTAAAACCATTCACAGTAAGAATGCAGAAATTGTGACAGTTCTAGAAACAACATGTGCTAAGCCTTAAGTCACTGGTGCAGTATATGTGAAATATTTGTAAAAATGCCAATGACGTCTGTAAACACAACAGGCAGAGTTATACACTTGTACCAATGGTGTCAATATTGACAACCCTGTTTCTCTAAAAGTGATCAGAGTGAAGGAAAAATGACTGCAATTAACCAGAAATTATCATTTCACATTGTTTTTACTCTTCAGAAAGTGAGGTTACCCTTTAAGACAACAGAAATCTCATTTACTGCTCATGCAAGCCAAAGATAAAGGCTGGTGTAGTATAAAGTCAGTTTGCAAGTTTTTTTTGCAAATAGATACATATTTTGAATTGAATTTCATATATTACTGAGTAATTTTAATGTTTTTTTCAATTTCAGAACTATATAAAAAGGGTCTTATTTATTTAGACTGCCCAATTGCAGATGATGATTGTTTTATAGGTATGCTTGATGATTTCTTGAATAAATAAAATATAATGAAATAGACTTATTGTAAAATAGTTTTTTTTAAATTTCATTACGCCCCAAAAGAAAAAGAAATATTGTGTAATGAATTATTAATTTTTTTTCAAATGATTATTTGTTTGTGTACCTGTTAATACCATATTGTTGTGTTGGGTTTCATCAGTTCTTTTAAGTCAACATAGATTGTGAATGAAGTTTCACCACTTTTCAGTCCCACCATTGGAAGGATTTGTTATGAACAGGGTGCTAGGAGACTACCTTGAGACCTTGCTGTACAAGATATTTGTGTCTATTGATGAGCATACCAGTGTAGCAGAGGTATGGGTCATTTTGTAATATTATCAGTTGGGTTTAATTTCAGATGTGTTTATATCTCTTAAAATTGTACTGCGTGGTAGATTTTGTCACAAATTTATCAGCGTTAAGCTTTTTTTATACAAAATAAGTGGCATTGGTGTCCTTAGTATGTGAAATATTTTTTTTCAAAAAGGAAAGATAACTATTTAATTTTAATATGGGCTAGAAAAGTTAGAGACCATTCCCAAAGATATTTAGATCAATCAATATTTATCCCCCTGGGGAGTCTCACTAGATTGCTGTCAGCTTAACTGGCTTAAATGTCTGTCCCGCCTACTAAAAGCTGTAAGGGGGTAATTAACTTTGGTTTGCGCTCGGCTCCTGGAAGCTGACAGCAATTTAGCGTGAACCCCCAGGGAGTTGGTCGATCTAGATGGATCAATCTAAATCTGTGGGAACCCAGTTTTAGAGACCATACAGCTTTTGAAGAGACTGAACAGTTGCATTTTTTGGATCTGAAGACAAATACCAGATGATACACTATTATCAAGCAATATTTTGTTCTCCTTTTTTATAGTAAATTTTTAATTATTATTAATTTATGACTAAGAACTATAATTGAAATTTGATTGTTGTATTTTCCAGCTGGCCAATGTACTTCAGATAGATTTACCACTAGTGAAAGTAAGTTCATTAATGGTAGAAAATTTTATTTATTTATTTATTTATTTGATGATATTAAATTCGGTGACTGTCTGTTGGTTGCAAATTTTTTAACAGTATATTATTATATGTTGAGACTATCTTTAAATTGTAGTCTGTTTTCATTAAAAAGTCTCAGACAAGATTTTATTGTACCACCAGCGTTAGCGCTGGCAGTACACATGGTTTCGGTCCCGTCCGGATCGTTCCGCCGGCTCCGCCGGACGGCTACCGTTACCGCTTCTCCTCCTAGGCGGTAAGGCCCCCCAGACCTATCTCTTGGATTTAGGTCA